AACCAGGTCTTCGAAGGCCTAGCAGCAAAAACCATTGTCATATTCGGAATCAGCATAGTCGATAACCTATTCTCCACTAGATTTCAACAAAAAAGCGAGCGGACACTTGGGGCAGTTCCCTCGTAAGACACGGCAAAGATTTGATTAATAATTTCCTTTTGTATGTCACTGCATTTCTCTTCTATAACTTTCGTTATTTTTTCCTAACTGAAAAACGGTGTTTTTTACTCATAAATACAGAATAGTGAAAATTGAGTGTATTACAAAACTAAGTTCATGTGTCCGAATCTCTATTCGCACAAAATTGATTTTTTATGTTTTTTCGATAGTTTTAGTTTAGAATATTATAAATGGGGAATATTTTTTCCGCTTATATTCTGAAATTATATCAAAGTCTTTTACTCACATGCTCATAAATATAGTATCATTATGACACGTTAGGTCTATCATCTGTTTGTACCTCTTTTCTCTATGTACTTTTTTAGTCCATCTATTTATATTAATTTTCTATTTCCGGTTTTTACCTGTATTAATCTATTTATCCACTTCGTTTTTACTTTTCTTATTCTTATTTGCTTAGAAATCTCATAATATAATGTAGCCACGAGGCTGCAACTTTGTTCTGTATTAGTTTTTTTTTCTTTCTTTACAACTGCCAAAATATATAGTGTTTTTATTATACTATATCGATAATTGCTCAAATATAACCAACCACATTATTAGACAAAAATGGAGGACAAAAAATTGAAAAATGGTCATCATTTTGGTTTTCTTTTATTATTATTCTGAATGTAAGCGAGTGATTTATGTTGCAAGTGGTTAACGTTCTTTTATTTTGTTGGACAATCGTTTAATGGAAAAGATAGATGATTTTGTTTGCTTCTCTAGGAAGTTCTGATCCACCTTTTGAAAGAAATTTTTCAACATCAAGTTTAACTAGTGTAGCGAACAATTATCTCATTCAAAATAATGAAAAATTTTGAAAAGTATTAAACAAAATATATGCTGTATGATTTAATTATAACAGCTGATTTCTGAATTCATTATCGTGATACATCTGTCTCTATATATCCATAGATACGAAGTAATGCAGTTAACAATGCATAACTGGAAAAATAAAATAGTATTCATGGCGGTTATTTATGATCATGAGAAATACTATGGAATTTTAAAAGGTTTGACATAGAAACACCGTGTTTTTTTTAGTCAGTAAAGTCAAATCTAACTTTCCATTGAACTGACCACTGATAACAAAGAATAAAATATACAGAAGATATCAGTTAACTGTAAATTTTGACTTCACTAAAGTGGATGACGTAACAGTCGCAAAAGTGGATGATTTTCCTTTGTTTAGCTATAGTCATCCACTATACTGGCCGAAAAGTGTTACCCGGCCGGCTGACTTAAGTGGATGATCTATCAGCCGACCGGGTAACACTTTTCAGCCAGTATAGTGGATGACTATAGCTAAACAAAGGAAAATCATTCACTTTTGCGACTGTTACGTCATCCACTTTAGTGAAGTCAAAATTTACAGTGTGTAAATGGCTTTCACTTTGTCAACTTATCGAGCTTCGTCATTGATTGTCTAGTTTCGGTTGCCACATTATTATACACTTCGGCTAATGTGACAAATACTGTACATTGATAGTTTCTTGTTGAATCTCAGTAAATCGAACAATAATTTACGTGAGAAACTTTGTAAGCGAGAACCGTTTAGTATAGATCAATGAACGACTAATAGGATTATAACCTAATCGCCTTGAAAAGCTCTGTAAGGAAAGATGAAAGAGCAAAAATTGATACTTCTACAGAATGATCTTATTTTTACTCATATTTACAATATAGGATGTGATTATTTTGTGGATGTGTCCCAAAATCTGTTATTTCTAACCGACAATAATTTTTTCATAACTTTTCAGTAAAAAACAGAGTATCAAGTAAAGTTTTGTAATGCCAAAGCACGTTGCACGCACTAGTAACATGCATTAATAAAAACACTGCTAACTGTAGGAGAGACAAGATGCATCATAACCAAATGAGATACGAATCATCTAAATAGTTGCTGTTGTAATCTAATAACAGCGAAAGTGTTATTTATTGATAGTCAGAGAGCTCTCTATTGATAATTTTCAATGTTCTGAGAAATCAGACGTATCAGACTTCAACTATTATTACACATTTCTGAGCTAAACCCTAGTGGAACTTCTTCAATCAGGATCTTGACTGAAGATCTTGCTAAGAAGTTAAAGAAATTTCAAGAATCCAAGGTCTTGAAATTTCTTGACTTCTTGTACGAGGAAGGATCTTGAGTAATTGATTCTTATACCCAAGATCTTGAAAAAACTTACGTTTACGGAAGAACTTATGGTTATATATCATCGTCGTATATCTGATGGCTATAACTATTATAACAGAAAACAAATTATAAAGAAAATTTTCCACTGAAGTGTGAATTTACACAAGAGTATAAAACAAAACGAATATATTCCCATTCCATCTTCTGTTGATGGTTTTTTCTCCGCAAACGGTACATTCTTCTTATTCTTTTTATGCAACTATTGCTGATTAGAATAATCTCCCAGAGTGATTTATTTGTCTTTCTTCTTTAATATGTTTCAAAACAGCTTTACTTCAGTATCTCTTCCAGTAAAACGTTTGTCAGTTAAATCTTATTAGTTTCTTTCTTTCTGCTTTTTATCTGCATTTATATTTGTTCTTTTTTGCTTGTGTTTTTAAAAACTTTTTTACTATTTCCGGTTCTAATCTTCGTTGTCTTCTTTATTTTGTTCTTTTTTGGTGTTATTTGGCTTGAGTCATTGTTATTACAGGTCGTGGACCTTTGATAACTCTCACTTTTCGTGAATAGAATAGTCTTAGTCTTAAAACGAAGATTCAAAAATTTCCAATATCTTGAGTACAAGATTCAGTCATATTATCTTCTAACGAGGGAAGGTCCCAATTTGGAAGTCGCTTTTACGATGATAGTTGTCGGACACATCCTGACTGACTTATAAACATTTTTAAATCTAGTGTTAATGTTAGTTTCATTCTAAAAATATATTTCTTCATTAACACTAGATTTAAAAATGTTTATAAGTCAGTCAGGATGTGTCCGATAGTCAAAAATTGTTTACTCATAGTTAACTTGACATGCCCCTACACATTGAATGGATCAGAAATTGATTTCGGAAAAAAAAAACGTTATATCTGGAAAACCGGCTCTCAAAACGGTCTTGCAGTCGTGCCGCCTATGATATTCGGAATTAGCATCATTGATTACATATAATCACACAACTTTCATCAATAAAGCGATTTTCAAGTTGGGAACCTTTCCTTCAAGATGTTGAAATTTCTTTTCCCAAGATCTTGGATACAAGAAGTTCTACTAGAGAACCGCTTCTTTCACTACGACGTTTCAAAACGCACAATGGTTTGATAGCGTTTTTGTAGAGAAACAATACTTCGGCACACTATATTTATGATGTTGCATTATTAGTATTACATTTTCTTGAAACACATTGACATCATCTTGATATCAGTGAAATTTATTCTTTCTCATTCGAAATTTTGGAGTTGTATCTCGCCATTATGGCTAGATTTATTCATATTAAACGCAAGAGCTGAAAATTTTTGTCAGATACTCATGTATCGTTGACAGCAGATTTCAACATAATATTTTGACATCTGATTTTTGATATAAATAACAAACAATGGCAATGTCTATTTCTGACAATATGCACCCTGATCCAAATTTGAAGAATATCATCGAACAAAAAAGTTTAAAATGGGTATTTGTTGGTGGAAAAGGTGGAGTAGGCAAGACAACATGTAGGTAAGTTCTTCTAAATCATGTCATTCTTCTGTTATTAAATCTTTCTTTCTCATTTCATTTTAGCTGTAGTTTAGCTGCTCAGTTATCCAGAGTACGTGAATCGGTATTAATTTTAAGCACAGATCCAGCTCACAACATTTCTGACGCATTTAATCAAAAGTTTACAAAAAAACCAACAAAAGTCAACGGTTATGACAATTTATTCGCGATGGTAAAGAATTTCTAGTGTATTCGAAAATTTATTCAATATATCTGAAGAGTTTTTCTGTCAAAACAACAGTAATTAAGTAAAAATTTACTGGTCGTTGAAAAGACAAACATTCAGCACAGCGTATTACTGTTCGATTCTACTGTCTACTGACTTGATTACTGCATAGTATTCGCATTTTTCGGGGGGTTGGCGGCAAATATCGAATGAAAAAATGTCGAAAAGGAAAATATCGATGAAAAAAAAGAGGAAAAGATTCCTTTTTGTTCTTTGAAAATCAGTGAAAGAAATATTTTATTGAATCACATAGAGCAAGAGAGCAGAAGAAAAATGATAAGGCCAATAGATTGTGATCTAATTTTGGGTACCTTCTAATGAACTATGATAATCCAGCCAGTAGCTGTTTTGCATTGATTTCTCTATTCAGAAATCATCCACTGAGTGTGTCAAATCATTGTTAAAAAAAACTGTTGTATTTTCTGATTGCTTTGAAGCCGATGTCGCAGCACCAAGTGACATAGTGATACGTTAAACGTGTGGGTGGGGTGAGGGCGAGGCGTTCGTCGTTGTAGCCGTACTGAACTTAATCATACTTTACTTTTTCAATGAGTAACTGTAATTGCTAAGAGGCTGGGAAAGGTGTACAAGTCGGATGAGAACTAATAATCGTCCTTATCATAAAAATACGTATATGTCTTCCAGTGATTTTCAATGAACAGAATGGGATCTTTTTCTTTTCGATATTTTTTTCATTCGACCAAGACCTGTTTTTTTATCGAATAGGGTCCGTTTTTCTTGTTTTGACTGTGTATTTACTTTTATTTCTGCTAGGAAATTGATCCCTCAGGTGGCATTAGCGAATTACCAGATGATTCAGAGGAAAGTGGTATGTATCTAGCTGTATGTAAAAATATTTTGTTTTAAAATTGCCACAGTTTTATACCATTAAGTTAGAAATAAGAGAATATTATTATTACTCATAACTTCTATTTGTCATCATCTTTTCATAAGATGCACCCAGGGCAGCCTTGCAGTGAAATTTATTTTTCGACACTTCATACACCATTCGATAGAGAATTTCGCGGTGATCACGAATATCACTTCCAAGGCTCTCAGAACCCTTTCCTCACTG